TATCGTCAGTTTTAATGGTATACATTAATTAATTCTATGTTTTATAATCACTTCATGAAAACAGTCTGCAGAAACACTTTGAAAGCCCCGCCCATTAGTAATAATCTCTCTCACATTAGCATAGTCAGCCCTGAGTGAGAAGCAGCCGTCAGGCATTAGAGTTTTTGCACTATACCTGCTTAAGATAATGTCAGCGACTAAGGGTGCTTTCACATCTGTGGTTCGGTTCATTTGGTCCAGACCAAGGGCAACAAATGATACATTGTAGCATTTTTCTGCCGTTTTTGGATCCTTTTCACACCACACTGATTGCTTTGCTCTGAACCAGTTAAAAAGAACCAAAATACAGTCATCTGACAAAATCCACATCCCTCATTGATGTTATTGAACATATTTCCTAAATTGCTTTTTGATTGGCCAGAATTAATGTGTGGGAAAATGCCAGTGGAACTTCCGCAAGTAAACAAACCAGCAGACACAAAATCTCACTTTTTACTATGGAGGGACGGCTGCGCTGGCTGATTGTATCCCTGGTCATAGTATATTATATATATTATATATAGTTTGTATACATCACGTATGAGTGTATGAGTGTGTGAACACTTCAGTCCATGCACTTTTTATCTAACAACAACCAAAAAAACAAACAATGTTGTCTGTTCTTTGTCTTTAATATCTTTCTTTCTTTCTTTCTCTTTCTTTCGATGCACACAATGTTCCCTACTCATCACCATTAAGACATTTGTGATCACACACTCTCCATTTATCATTAACCCACTAAATCTTTACAATTATAACAATTATGTGTGCTTTGAATACAGTGTTTTTACGCTCTTCAAGCTTTCATTTAGAGCTTAAAAAAACATGAATTACAATAATGTTCTGGTTGTGTAGTCAATAATACAGTTAAGTTTGGGAAATGTTAGCTTGTAGCGCTGCATGAGAATAAAGGGCATCTGTCCCCTGAAGCTGTCTGGTCAGTTGCACAGAAATGATTAGACGGTAGATCTAAAGTACACATAACAGAACTGCATTTGTTGGCTATATTTGCTCAAGATGTCGAAAGGTTAAAAAAAAAAAAAAAAACTGACCAGGTCAAAGATAAATAATACAATGTTAAGAGCAGCAGTAAAGATGTAGCATTTCACAATAATGCGTTCACTTAGCCGACAATAATACAAGTTTCTGGCACTGCAGTATCTTGTAGTCATATTTCATTTACATTGTTTGCTGATTTTATTCAACAAAAATAGCATAAGCCTACTATTTAATGCGAGTTGGTGCTACTTATGATTAGCGCACTAAGTGACTGTGAATATCAATAACGTTACTTTAGCACAAAAGTTCGTAACATACAAAAACGTAAAAAACAAACTCTTACCTATAAAATGTTCTGTCTTTATGCTTTGTTTTCTTTGTTTGCTTGTTACTACACCCGTACAAAGAGCTAAAAGTCCAGCATCTTCACATTGGCTTTAGTCTTGACTAGTGCAGTTGAAAGCTATTTGTCCTGGGAGCACTGTACAAATGTGGCAGCACTATAGACGCATGCTCAGGGTCCGTATGCGATATCTAGTGTATATATCTTTGGTTAAAATGTTTTACAAACACTATACATCAGGGGTCACCAATCTCGGTCCTGGAGGGCCGGTGTCCCTGCAGGGTTAAGCTCCAACCTGCCTCAACACACCTGCCTGGAAGTTTCAAGTATACCTAGCAAGACCTTGATTAGCTTGTTCAGGTGTGTTTGATTAGGGTTGGAACTAAAATGTGCAGGACACCGGCCCTCCAGGAACAAGTTTGGTGACCACTGCTATACATAATGTACTTTGGAAAAACTTTCCACTAAAATGTTTGTGAAGAAAATGTTATATTTTTCAGTTTGGATTTATCAAGTGTGTGCTCCATGTTCTCACTACAAATATCACACGGGTCAAATATGCTTTTCTTCAGAAATGTAGATTTATCTTCATAATATTTAGTATGACAGACTTCACAAGGTTTACAAAGTCGTGTCAATGTTTCTTGTAAATGTTCACAGACACAGTTTTTCCATATGAAAATACAGTAAGCTGTAGCCTACATTGACAAATTGTTGAAAAGACTACAATACATCGGGAAAATAAGTATTCAACGCGTCACCATGTTTCTCAAAAAAGGTGCTGTTAACTTAAAATTTTCACCAGGTGTTGGTAACAACCAAAGAAATCCATATATGCAAAGAAAACAAATCTAATTAGCTTACAAATGCGTAATGAAATGAAATGACACAGGAAAGAAGAATTGAACACATGAAGAAAGGAAGGAAAGGCAGAGAAAGCCCAGACAGCAGCAGCAATATCTCAGTAGTTCTTCATCAACCCTCTGTCTTTCCTCAGTGTAAATGAATATTAACTGCTTCAGTCCAACATCTACATTATCAGGATGATAAAGATGAAACCAGAGTGGACATTTCAGCAAGACAATGATCCAAAACGCAGCCTACTAAACTCTCAAATGCTTTCAGAGAAACAAAATCAAGCTGTGGAATGGCCCAGCCAATCACCTGACTTAAATCCAATAAAATACAAAATAAAGCTCAGATTTGATAGACGAGACCCACAGGACTATCAAGATTTTGACACTCTGTTGAAGTCTGTGAAAAACCCACAACTGAGCAATGCATATGACTTCGTTCTCCACGAGAGGCGTCTTTAAGCTTCCATCGCCAAAAAAGCATTTTATATAAAGTAATAAATAAGTTTAAAATGAACACGTTTTACAGATTTTTTTTGTTTTGATGTTTGTATTGTTTGGGTTTTTGCACAAATCTGGCTCAATCCCATGTCAACAGCTCAAATAGAAATATTTTTCCCAGGTAAAAACATGACGTGTTTAATGCACAGTATTTTCTCCGCTCTACATAAAGTATAATACACGTTACTAAGTTCCAAAATCACTATATTGTTTTGGCAATAAACGCATTAAAATGCAGTAATGTGTGATAATATAACAATATTTACCTTTACAGACACGGTTATATGACATAAAAGTAGACTATGCCATACTATATTAAATAACATACTGGTTTTAGAACCTTACCATTTAGTACTTGAATTAATCTGTTGAAGTAATTCTATATTTGCAGAGTAATATAATAACTATAGCAATGCAACCAAACTACCCAATACTAGTTGTCTACAACGATAGGGTTTAGTATACAACAATTAGGGATGGGACGATAAACGTTTTTAAGGTATACCACAGTTTGGAAAAGTAAAACCACCAGTTTAACCAAAACCAAAGTTTTAAAACCACCAAAATTTTCTGTAATACCGTTCCTAAGGTATGGGTACAATTTTTTTATTAACGTTTTTTTTTCCTTCTGTTTTTAGTTTAAGACAACAGTATCTCCAGTAGAAAAGATATCCAAAGATGTTGGTAAAAATTGTAAAGGTATCTGGGTCTTTTTTTTTTTTTACAAATAAAGACAGCAGAAGTCAATAATTCATTTTAATTATTTAGCTTGACGTTAACTGCTCCAAAATATTTTAAATGTTTCTTAAAATAAAATATATTGTGTTTAAAAAGAATAGGTTTTAGAGCAGTTATCATAATACCGTGAAACCGTGATATTTTCAGCCAAAGTTATCCTATCATCAGAATCTAATACTGGCCCATGCCTAACAACAATACAGCAGTTAACTGTGAACAGTATTTATTACAGTTAATAATGATGGCTTGCTGTAGCATTCATTAGCAATATGTTGTAAATACTATAATACTTTAAAATAGCCTAGTATACTTAAAAGAGACTATAGCATTTGGTATAAATTAATACAGGTTTTCATGATGATCAACTAATAAATCTTTGATTGAATTGTTTGAAGGCAGTGATGCGAGAATGTTTACATTCACAGACAGTTATCCCACATGAAAATAGCTCATAACATTTCATATTAAAAGCTGTGGTTTTAAACTAAGCAATATTTAAGCAGGTGATGTGGTCATTTTGCTGTGCTAATACAACTATAGACCATTTTGAGGGATATCAACAAAAACAATCATCCCAACGCAGTTCCTATTTCACATTTTTAATTTCAGTAGCGTCCGAGAATCCAAAAAAGAGCCACATATGGATAAATAACGTTATGAAGCTGATTTAACATTAAGTTATGATTGATTTGCCTCTTGTTACAGTTGTGAAATAGTTTGATAACAAGCAGGAAATGTAATGGCTCAATGACATGACCACACTGAAATGGTCTATAGTAATGCAACAAAACCCAATACTGTAGTTTTCTACAATTAGTTTAGTATACACCACAGTTTACTGCAGTAAAAACTAACATGTACTACAGTATTATTACAGTTCATCACAAAAGTGTACTGTAGAACTCATAAAAAGTGCTGTACCACAATAATACTATAATGCACTGTAATACTTTACTATAGCCAGGTATAGTTATGAAACACCACAGCATTTGCTATAAATGACAATTCAACTATAAAACAGTTTGCTTGAATGCTACACTGCAATAACCTCTTAAGGCCCAATGTGTTTTTTTACATGCATTTTTTATTTTTCTTTACTATTTAGGCTTATTGAAACCTAATTATAATAAAACCTTAGTATCATCTTTTGCTACGATGTACTTTTAGAGAAAAATTATGTCCATATATGTGGACTTGTGGTCTGAATTTACATTAAACACTTTTTCCTGACTGTTTTTAATGCATTAATAACATACATATTTTTTAAACATGTTTTGACTATCAGAGAGAAAAAAAACTTCTTTTTTTTTTTGCATATTTTGAACAGTTAAAATAGTGTTTGGAACATTTCATATGCTGCACAGTTGTAGGATGACACTGTATGTCTGTCATAAAGTATAAAACATTAAAGTATTTAAATAGCCACTTAGGAGCTAAAACGTGCTGTCCATGCATGTGCCCACTAAGCCCTAGGAGGTTAAAGGCAGAGATGTGCTGTGTGATGGTGATATAATATCAATATTTACCTCCTCCGCCTGTTTGCGCAGCGCTTTCTCCCGCTCGTACTGCGTGATGAGCTGCTCGTTGTCCTCCTTGAGAAGCTCCAGCTCCACCTCGTGCTCCTGGTTCTCCGTCAAAACCGAGTCGAGGTTCTCCAGAACGTTCACCACAAGCGGCATCAGCTCCTTCACCACCTCCTCGTCGTAGGTTTTGATGAGGCGCTCAAACTCCTGGTAGATGCTGCTGGCCAGGCCCGTAACCCGCTCCGACATGACGGACACGGCCCCATAGTCGTCCTGGTACACCACCTCGTCCAGCTCCATCATCTTTGCGGGCGCTTGTCCGAAGCTCGTTTAACGACGATAATATACAAATCAATATTAAAAGTGTCAAATCGGCCTCTATGAGATCATGACAATGTCATCAGGTGCTCATGATGCCACTTCACGGTCGGTTTTTGCAATGCACACCCGGTCGGTATTTCTCGATCGGCGGGGACGAGTCCTCTTCCCCGCCGGGCTCCTGCGCCTCAGTGTCGGCTACTCGATCACCCGCGCCTCGCCGATCACACTCGACGATTTCCCGGTTGCGTCCGTTTCATCTCCGCGCAATCCATCGCACCGCACCGCATCACATCACGCCCAGCGAGCGATGCACCTGCCTCTCAACAGCCATTATCAACCGAGAGAAATGGAGAAATAAATAAATAAATAAGTACGCGCATACATAAGCAAAGAACGGCTACCGTGCGATGCGCCTATGGGATCGCGCTGTCATTGGGAATCGAGTATGTATTTCTTGCGTGATCGTTTTTGGCAGTGAAAATCAATCCGGTGGTTGACAGGGCGGCGGGGGCTCGTGATGCTGCTTCCGTCGGTGATTCTCTCTCTCTTTCTGATGAGGATGATGATGGAGGGGGCAGATGACGTCACAGCGCCTGCATGGAGCTGGCCGGAATAATGATGTCTCATCGCTGCTGTGTTGTGCTCCTACAACCAGGATTCACAGAGAAACATGAGCTGTAAAAACACTTTAATGATAAATCTAATGCATATTATCCTGTAAATAGTATATTGGTGGATTAAAGAGGTAGTTCAGCCAAAACAAAAAAACATTTACTTACTTTTTAATCATCCTCAAATTGTTTCAAACGAGTTTCCTTTTTTCCTGTTGAACACTAAAGAAGATATTTTGAAGAATGATGCAAACCGGTAACCATTGACATCCATAGTAGGAAAAACAAATAGTATGGGAATCAATGCTTACCGGTTTCCAGCTTTCGTGGAAGAAAGTCAAGTTTGTGACAAAGGGTAAATAAATTATGACATTTTAACATTTATATGAATAATTTACCCAAAATTTAATCATTTAAAGTGTAATCAAATTAATCATTTTAGTTTAACGTGAGTTTTTCTATCAAGCTTGATGTCTTTTTTTACGGATGACCATAAAGAACAGTAAAGGAGACGCACATTTGAGATCACATTACTGTTTGAGGATAATCGGTTTAAGGCTTCACAGGAGCTGTTTTTTATAGAGCCGACAGCAAAAGTTGATGCCAAACCCATCACAGACTGCATCAGGTTGCTCTGCAGCCCCCAAGCGTCCGTAAAGGGGATTGCGATTAATGTGGCAGTGTGGCATATTCTGCTCTGCTGATTTTTAAAATATAAATGAAATACAAAATCAATAAATCGAGCTTGTGCTTCCTTGAATAATTTAGCTAAATGCTGTCATTTATGTAACCCTAAGGTTCTTAAACCAGCAATAAAATATAAAATGTAAATCAGATCAAGAACAATACAACACCTCATGGAGATTTTAGAAATATAAATGTGATTTAAAATAAGAGACATCATTACTGTCGCAAACAAATTACGGAATTAAACGGGTTCACTGATAGTAAAGTCAAAATACTGCTGACTGCTGTAGAAAAATAAAATGGAAACTAAGGAGAATATGGAAGTTTGTTTCCGTTTTTTCTTTTAAGAGGGGAATAGGGGATTGAACAATTTACAAAATAAGCATGCATACACCTATATACATGCATCAATACCATGGTAAAACATGTCATTTTCAGGCAATACTTTAAAATTAAACTTCATTTGTTAACACAGAGTTAAAGTCAGAATTATTGTTTATTTATTTCCCACAATTTCTGTTTAATGGAAAGAAGTTTTTTTTTCAGCACATTTCTAAACGTAATAGTTTTAATAACTCATTTCCAATAACTGATTTATTTTATCTTTGTCATGATGACAGTAAATAATATTTGACTAGATATTTTTTAAAACACTTCTATACAGCTTAAAGTGGCATTTAAAGGCTTAACTGGGTTAATTAGGCAAGTTATTGTATGATGTTGGTTTGTTCTGTAGACTATCGGGAAGAAAAAAAAATAGCTTAAAGAGGCTAATAATTTTGTCCTTAAAATGACTTTTAAAAATTTAAATAAAATCGGATGGGGGAATAAATCTGACTTCAACTGTTTGATGCATTAGCAGGATTCAATGATGAACGGAATGTAAAAAAACATGTAAAGCTATAAATATCGTTTAAGCCATTTGTGCCTAAATTTTGAAAATGGTTTCATGCATATATCCTCGATAATAGTGTCCAATATGAACATGTTTTGCATATATAAAGACAATTATTACACTACCGAAAATTTGGTAAACGAAAACATTTTTTCTCATTACAAAACACAAAACCCTGAAGCTTTCGAAAACCTTCACCCAGACAAGAGACTTCAAAAAAAATAAATAAATAATAATAATAAAGGTTTTCAGTGACATGATACTTTGAGTTTGTGTGGAAGTACTGCCAAACATGAAGAAAAAGCAGCGATTTAGACTACCCCTGTCCGTGTGGACAGCAGGGCATGAGGTTGTGACTGAATTTGGTTGTAGTTTTGTTTTTTTCAGTGATTCTGATATTTTAAATCTTTGTGGGAGTGGGAGCAGAAGTTAATTTACTCTGACATTTTTACTGTGCATCGAACTGTATAAAAAAAGTCTACTTTAAAGTAAAGATATTGGTTAGAGGGTTGTTTTTAAATGGGGTATTATGAAAGCAAACAACAACAACAACAACAACATTAAACAAGGCCAATAACCTAGATTTAACACATTACTCTCTAATTCCCCATTATTGATGTACTTACAAGGTATTTGCCCACGACAACTATAGTATACACTAAACTGTAGATCTCTTGAAAGATTTTTGTTCGGATGGATTTAGAGACCTTCATGATTATGTTGATATTTTTGTAAACAAAAAATATTTTAACACAAAAATTGCCTTTAATTGGGAGGGTTTGCCTCCATTTTGCATCCTGGAATAAGAGGTAGGAAGTTGAAAGCCTTGTGTGACAGGAAGTGAAACAATTCCTTTTTTTCTTTCTTAAAATCTTTTTTTATTTATTTTTTTGGCTTGCATGTCATTGAGAAATTAAACATGGATAATAAGTAGAAAATGACATAAAAGGAAAATGGAAACCATGAACTTCAGGAACTATTGCTGGTGGGCTTAATAGAAAACTGTGAAATATTATTCTAATATATAGATAAAATAAAAATAATTTAGACAAGATTGTCTAGTCCCAAAAAATATCCTCAAAATACAAAATAAAGTGCATTAATGTGATTAAAATGTTTATTTTCGCCTTTTCCGACCAGAGATGAATACCAGAGGGTTTAAAAATAATGAGTTTTAAATAAATGTTTGAAAGCCTGACGAAACCATTACCAAAATCAGGCAATATCTGACTGAGGCAATTACCTGCAGCAAGTTTTTCCAAATACTTTTATCAAACATATATAGAAGATTTAATTAGGCATGCTCCGATCGATCCGCCAGAGATCAGTATCGGCCGATAATCGCATCCACTGACTCGATTGGTACTCGCCAATCTGGCTGATTTTATGAACTGAACACAAGTGATTGTTTACAAGCAGAAGATAAGGCACATGCACACTGTATACTATACATTAGCAGTGCTACAAATTGTGAGGAGTGATCACTGTGCTGGAGTCACAGCAGCTAAAATATATACAGATATGGTGCAAACTGTTTATATGGAGTGATGGTCTCTTTGTTGCAATCATTTATATCCAGGGTTTTGAGCTGTTGTGACATGAATATTTAATAATAAAACTTTTGTAATATACTTACTCACTGCACTAAACAGTAGTTTATAGGGCCTTCCTATTTTCTTTTAGTAAAAAAGCAGCATATTTGTAGGTGTGCACTTTAATTTATGCATCAAATAAGCACTCCAAACTTTCTCCTTCAGTGAGACATGTTAAATTCTCCTTCCATCATTTGCAAATGTTTCGAAATTGTATTGTCAATCCTTTTTCTATTTTTTCCCCCCTTCTGATCATAACATTTCCTTACTTAATGGTTTAAGAGACATGTTTAATGGATTATACACAACATCCTTTATTTATTCTCTTAGGTAAGGCCAGATCTTATCATACTTAAAGGGACAATGTTCTTTATGTATTATAAAGCTTGAAGCATTAGAAATGGTACTCGGTTATCGACCGATTATCAAGACAAGGAATCGTTACTCGATATCAGCTGCAAAAATCCTGATAGGAGAATACAGAGTATCAATTATTTTTGCATCCAATAGTGATGTTCATAAATCAGCATTACATTAAGCCATTGGTAACACTTTACAATAAGGTTTATTAGTTAATGCATTTACTAACATGAACTAATCATGAACAACACTTGTATAGCATTTATTAATCATAATTAAACATTTACTAATGCATTATTAACATCCAAGTCCATGCTTGTTAACATTAGTTAATGCACCATGATTTAACATGATCTAACAATGAACTACTGTATTTTCATTAACTAAAGTTAACTAGCATGAACAAATACAGTAGTAAATGTATTGTTCATTGTTTGTTCATGTTAGTAAATGCATTAATTAGCATGAACTAATGAACCTTATTGTAAAATGTGACCAACCCATTTAGCTGTTTGGCCCTCAAGATTTACACGACTACTTAAAATGGATAGCTCACCAAAAAACGAAAAATTACTCACCATCAGGTGATTTGTGGGTTTGTGTTTTATGTTGAACACAAGATGATTTTTTGGAGAAAACTGGACACCTGTAAGTACTGAGTTTCATAGTTAAAAATTGCAGTTTAATCTACAACAAATAAATAAATAAATAAAATCTTCCTTTGTATTCAACGGTAAAATACTCATACAGGTTTGAACCCCTGAAGGGTGAATAAATGACTACAGAACTTCTCATTTTTGGAATGAACTATCCCAAGGGTGTCCAAGCTCTGTTCTGGAGAGCCGGTGTCCTGCACAGTTTAGCTCCAACTTGCTTCAACACATCTGCCTGGAGCTTTCTAGTATACTGAGAAAGAGCTTGATTAGCTGGTCAGGTGTGTTTAATTAGGGTTGGAAGTAAAGTTAGGCTTAAAGTTAGTTTAGGCAGCCCTGAACTATCCCTTGAACTTACTCAACACCAACTGGATTAAGTAAGCTAAAATTCAGCAAGAACACGAGCGACTGATTTTAAATGAAGATTTCTGTTAGTTTTATTTGGAGCAACATGGTAAAACATCCTTTCACTGTCATGGAAAACAAATAAGCAGTACAAAACAGCATACAAAACAATACAGAGTTGTACTGTATGAAACGGGCCTCTGTGACATCACCGCAGCCAGTCACACTGCCGGGCAATCAACCAACTGAAGTATTTTGGGCAGGGATGGCACAAGCAATGTGGGAATTGCCCAAACACGCTCACAGATGCCACATATTTGACCTTCCAATCTGCAAGCTGACTAAGACGAGGAAGGGCCAAATTCATCAGACAGCGTTACGGCGCAGCAACTCTTTTCAAGTACAGAATCAGGCATATATCAGACGATTCCCAGAGTTTAAAGGTCTGTGGTTTACATTCAAATACATGTATGGACATGTTGAGTTTGAGGATATGTTAGTGATGACTGATTGTACACATTATGCCATCCATTGTCGTACACGTGTGCTTTGGCGATTATCAATTAGAATAGCTGAGCGTTTGATTTGGCATCTTTAACATTTGGTTTTGTGCCTTACAAGATAAAAATGAAACCGTAGAAGGGAAAAAAGTGAAATGAAGTCACCTTATTGCACAAAAGTAAATGCATCATTGCCATTAGAACACATTCAGTTTCAAAGGAAGATCCAAACATGCTGATGCTGAAGAGTCTGCACTGGCGTCCATCAGTAAATCCAGTTGAACACTGCATAGACTGTGCTCGAGTTTATGAGGCAAACCGGCATTTAATACGTTAGCAGATTGAGAAACAATCATATGGAGAGACAGTCAGTCAATGCGAACCGTTTGAAAGGAAAACAACTATTCAGTTGCTGGAGTGACAGTATAACAGTGATTCAAATTAGATGAAAAGCAGATAGACAAGGTGAGGAATGAATCAAGAGCAAGTGCAAAAGCCAAAAGAAAAAAAAAAGGAATGAAAAGTGACAGACCTCAGGGAAGGACGATCAAGTAAATGAGAAAGGAGAGATTTTAGGACAGGTAAAAATGTACATGAAAGATGAGATGTAGAAAGCAGTAGAGCTGTGGGGAAAATTGATGTTCAATAAGAATGGCTATTCACTCTTGAAGCTATTCTGAGGTTAATTTTTAACAGCAGATGGTGCTCGAGGCTAGTTTTTACCATACACTCAACTGCTCATGAAGAGAAGGCTAACACAGCTCACTATGAACACCTTTCCTAACTTTTTTTAATGATTATTTTAGGTTTTTGACATAATTTAAAGCGATTAAATGCATGCAGCGCCATCTGCTGTTAAAAAAAATAAGCTCAGCATCGAATCAAGAGAGAATAGATTGTGCCACAGCTCTGGAAAGCAGCACCTCTGCCTAATAGAAAACCACACTGGACTTTCCACCTGGTGGGTTGAGCACTTTGTTGTGGGAGCGAGGGACCGGTGCGAGGCGAGGCTCATGGTCTTTTTCTGACGGTTGCCTTGTGGCTGGTTCAGCTTTCTGATTGGCTGGGGGTGGTGCAGGTGCAGGGGCAGCGGCAGCAGCTGCCGGCTCTTTTTCAGGTGTGGGTTGAGGAGCCACTGGCTGCACCTTCACTTCTTCAACAACCACAGGCTCTGGCTTGGCCACCGGGGCTGTAAGAGGGCGAAATAGTGTGGGAAAGGGAACTGAGAAGATCAAACGGGTGTGCTAGCACATGACTAATATTTTATAAAGCAGTCACAGGGTTGTTTTTACCTGGTGGATCTGGAGTAGCAGGTACACCCACACTTAAGTTGTCCTACAGAGAATGGAAAAAACATATTAGGATTAAAAGAAATGGGTGGAAATTATGGCTTTCATCGTTTTGTTGAAAGCAAAATTAAAATGATGAATGCGTGTGTCATTACAGACAGTGTAGCTTTTTCAAATATCAGGGTTTCTGCAGGTCTCATCAAGTCACATTTAAGACCTTTTTAAAACCATTATGAATGCAATTTTAGACTTACATAAGGCTAAAACACAAAAGGATTTATTTCTGATGGCCTGGTTGGACCAATGGAAAATATTTTTACTTGCCTCATCAATAAAAAACATAAATAAATAAATAAAAAATAAATTATGAAAAATAATAATAACATTAATAATATAGTTATTACTCAGCCACATACTTTTAATGTACTTTTAATGTGTATACATGCATTCTTTTCAACAACATTTCTTTAAAAAAAAAATACAAGGTATAAGACTAATAAACTGAACTGGACATACTGTTGAGCATATGTTTAGTGTCCTCAGCAGGTATAGCTATAAATACATAGAGAACTTTGAATCAAATGCTATTGTAAAGAAGATAAACTATATTGGTAAACAAAGTAAAAAAATTCAACTTTTGGTAAAAGTTCTATCACTGAGGCATTGGCATGATTATATTAGATAGACATATGAAAATTAAGACCCGTTTTAAATTATTTAAGACCTACAACACAATTTTTCAGTGAATTAAAGACTTTAAGGCCTAAGATTTTGTTTTTCAAAATGTAAGACATTTTCAGACCCTGCAGACACCCTGAATATATTTTTGAATGAAAAGTTTTGTGTGGCCCTGGGCAGCATTTATTATAAAAATTCATTTCACCCATTATATTCTGGAAAATTACTATAAAAGTATAGCTTTATTTAAATGCATTTTAAAATCTTTAAATTCATTTTCAGTATCTATTACATATTTATTGTCATTGTATTCTCTCTTTACATTAGGGCTGCACCATATTGAAAAACTGACATTGCAATGTTTTATTTTTCTGCGATATAAAATGCAATATAAATACAAGTTCACAAGATTATGTGATTTGGAAAAAAATCTATTTTATATTGATTGGGATAATTTTGTTGGGGGGTGCATCTGCATAAAACTTATGCAGAAAATATTTTTTAATTTAAATTAAAGCACAGATAAAAACAATACAGAACTTAAAGCTTTTTTTAGAGTATTCAGTACATAAATTCAATAAATCAAACACTGTTTGTCCTCATTGTATAAATAATAAAACAATAAATCTTTGTTAAAGTGTCAAGCTTTATAGGTAACACGTATTTTGATGGTCCATTTGAGTATCAGTAGACTGTCTGCTTAATATCTGCTGATACTTCTCCTTTAACAGAAATTTAACTGACTAAAACAAACTTTGCAAGTACATGTCAACTTACAGTAACCCTAATCGTCTACTTGTATCTAATGAGAATTAGTTGGAATTTAGATGCAATGTAACTTGAATTCAACAAACTGACCATCAAAATAAAGTGTGACCGCTTTGTAACTTATTGTGCCTGAACAGTTTAACTTGGCTTAATCAGTCACGGGCTTTAAAAACAAACCCAAATAAAAATCTCACACTAAGTTAAACTTTGCCTTTTACTCTACAAGTCACATCTCATGAACTTTTTCTTAGTTTATATATAACCCCATCTTCACTTTGCAGATCCAGCGATGTGACTTACAGATTCACACACACATTTTGATATCGATGCTGAAACTGTATATTGTGCAGCCCTAATTTATATCATTAAATTTTAAAAACAGCAGTTAAATATTTTTCACACATGTATTTGTAACAATGTTGAAGCATGAATAACATTCATGAATGAAAACAGGTAAGGTATTGGCTAATAGTTATGCACCTTTGGTTTGTTGGGGTGACTTTTCAGAGAAGGTGGTGTTGACTCTGCACCTCCAAAGATGTTACTGGATGCTGCAGCAGAGAACACAGGCTTGCTCTGAGGCAAAGCAGCCTCTGGCTTCTCGAATATTCCACTGCTCTTTCCACCTAAGACAATAAGGGACACAAAATACACCAATGCAAGTTATACAAGGAAATCCATACATCTTCAGTTCTTAGAAGAGGTTGACACTTGATACGAGGTATTGATGTTTTGTTTACAAAACAGCCCACGGCTCTACAACCGTTTGCCTAAATTCAGTCACTGCTTCTATTGTCTTCATTTGTATGTTGTTTTGGATAAAACATTAAAAAGATGTACAATTTAGCAAGTCAAAATACAAACGGTTCTTTCCACCAGCTTAAATTTGCCGATTCTACTTGCAATAAAATTCAAGAGAGATCTTTTTAATGGCAAACAATCATGTACAAGTATATTGTCCAGGGTTTCCACAGGTTTAACAAAGTCAAATTTAAGAGTTTAAGACACTTTTAAGACCATTATGAAATGAAATTTTAGACTTACACAGGACTAAACACTAATAATTATTTCTTATGGCCCAAGTTTAACATTGTTAAAATTATCGTTTAGGCAATTACATAAACAAATCAAAAGTTTTATGCCTATTTATAAATATTATGTCTACTCCCCCTTCTGGAAATAGTTTTTATATTAACAGAAGATGATGTAAAGGGAGATATATAGCTACAGATATATTTTTATTTAGCTCTGTTATTATCATGAGGAACTGTGTAATTGTTTTTAGTTTTCTTTCCCTAATTTAATTAAAATGGATTTTTATTGATTGGATGGATGTCGGCCCGATTAGGTAGCTTTACTTGGACAGAGGAAAATTAAGACTCGTTTAAAATTATTTAAGACCGACAACAACACAATATTTTAGTGAATTTAAGACTTTAAGGTCTAAAATTTTGTTTTTGAAATTTAAGACATTAAAACTTAAAAGCCCCAGTCAGATCACACTATTTTTATTGTCAGTTACGAAAGTCACTGTCAGATTGTGCGATTTTTTTCTTCTTGATAAAATCTCGACTAGTCTTGGGTAACAAATGTGCCTTTTGGAATCGAATTTCCTCAAACGAGTTAAATCCCTTTAAAACAAGTCCGCTATTTGCACCAAAACACGAATTGTTGTGAGATTTTGTTGGTTTTTTAAATAAAATAATAATGTAGCATAAATAAATTTAAAATGAAATATTCAGTTTTTTTATTAACGACAAATTTGAAGGAGGAAAAGCTTTTAAAATGTATTCGCAGCACTAAACATGTACCCAGATTATCTCGGAAGAACAACCTCTGTTGGAAGGATGAGAGAACTCAGAAACTGGTTGTGAGAATGGAGATGTATGCATATGTGCCAGCCTGTATGATGAAATTGCTTAAAACACCTTCATATTTTAGAAAAGGTAGATAAAGTTTGCATAACCAATGATTGATCTTATCCACCCACGACCCACCAATAAGTAAATATGCAGCCTATTTTTTGATTAACGATGCATTAACGGCAGCACCCACGCATATAACTGAGAAATTATGTGCTTCTATTGCACAGTCTCACCCACGTGACGGAAGTCGTCGTGAAGAACAAAAAATAAATTAAATAAATTAAACATGCTAGACGTTCTGCAATGTGTCATAGGCACGGTATCAGTTGTCGTGAACTATGCCACATAAGAACACAAGAAGAAACGTTTGAATCTTGTGTCACGATGCCTATTTGTTGTTTACGAATATCTAGGACACCTTACATCAAGGAAATCTGTTGAAATAGTGACAAAATCCAGTGATCATCTGACCGGGGCTTAAGACTCCGCGGACAAGGTGCTGTCAATTAAATTATTATCCTATAACAATATTTGTTTTACACGTTGTATTTCTAAAATAGTTTTTGTAAATGGTTTACAATTTTAGTAAAATAAAATGCATAGTTTTTGTTAGTTTATTTAGCACTTGTATTTTATTTTATTCTTATAAACATTTTTAATTAAAAAAATAAAAAGTTCAATAAAAGAATGCTGCCTTGTCAACCCACTTAATTTTCAACTAACTTTGTGGCTAATTAATAAAATCTTTTTGGTAATTTTTACACCAGTAATAATGATGTGACAGCAATGAAGTGAGTTCCTCAGCTGAATTAAAAAAAGAGAGAGAGAGAGAGAGAGAGAGAGAGAGAGAGAGAGAGAGAAAAAAAAAGACAGATTTAACACCTGCTCCCTCAGGGCAAAGCTTGACAACGCCATCGAAAATTCTTCTAACAGAAGAGGAACACTTCTAAGCTTTAGAATTTACATAAAGTCTTAAAATTGGATGGTGTTTAGGAGCACTTTAGATCAGATGCCCAAACTAGGGCCCGCGGGCCCATAGTAACCTCCGATTTGGCCTGGATGCCATCTAGGTGAGGGAGAAATGTACTAAATGAAAGGAGTAAATTAATCCAGTTTATTTTAAATGTACATACTGTCACCCAAGAGCAAATCAAGTCGCAGGCAGATTCTGTTTGACTAGTATATTCAACATTGATCTCCACTGTGTTACAAACGTAATTGTTTGTTTTTATTGCAATAAGTTCTAATTTAAAAAAATATTTACTGCTTAAAGATAATATTTCAAAATAAATGAAAAGCATTACTTTAAATTGTATTATGAAATAAATTAGGAAACTACCCATGGCAACTTTAATGTAATATAGTTTGGTATATTTAGCTTTGGCCCATGGCTGTCAATGCTATTTGGTTTTTGGCCCTTTATACGAAAAAGTTTGGGCACCCCTACTTTGGATCAATACTTGAAGCTATAGCAAACAGCTAGCGACTTAGGACTAAGACCTTTAACCTTATATAGATGTGTATTTGATGAGTTCAGCTCGACTTCAAGGTAACAAACTGGTCAATTTGTCAGACTCGACTAAAGACTCTGATGTTGCTTGTGGTGACGAGATAACAAATGCAAAGTGCCCCGTTTGCATAGTGGAAGGGCGGAAACGCATACAAATGACAGTGTGGTGATGATTTTCTGTTAAAAGCTCACCTGGCGGATTGGAGCGTTTGGGAGACTCCTGCTGCTTTTCTGGAGGTGCGAAAATAGAGGAAGACATCTTGTTTGGCCGTCTGGAAGCAGAGGAGTCTTCTTCATAGCCACCGAAGATATTGCTGGACCCTCCACCTGGAGGTCTCAGTACCCTGCAAACAGATACACAGATGAACCTGCATTTATTTTTAAGACCTGTGACTACTTTAAGAGTTTTAAGCATTTTAGTAGCGCATAAAGAAGTTTTATAAAGATTATTTTTATTGCCATTACTTATAGGATGAAGACTATGCTGTGTTATTTTACATTTGACAATTCAATTTTTGTAACCGAATACTGATAGATTCTCTTAAACCAAAAAGCACAGTTTATTTCACTTTAATATTTGCACCATTGTTTATTTATGACCGTAGCTTGTTTCTCTCCCATACAACATCCTAGTAATCAATCTAAAGTACACACGGGGACGCTTTTCATTTGCATTTATCGTTAGCATTTTGAGACGTTTTTCCGGATTCAAACCCCAAGAGATTTTCACTGCCGTCGAGCAGAAGAGTATGCAAAATCACTCCTTGATATAAGATGGCCAACTTTAAGCTTCTGACACTCGCTTGTAGCACAGAAGAAGAAAGTTGACGCGCTTGTTAAAGTTACTGACGATTTGAACAATCATGGATGGCTCAAATAGCAGCTCCACCTCTAGCGATGAAGAAATAATTATTGTTCACAGTGCAATAAGCAGCTCCACGTTCATATCGCTTCTAGGCATCTTCTTCAATGTGCGCTCGCATAGACAGTTTTGCGCTTGAGCGACTCCAAATGCTGTTTCCTGTAACTTCAGTGCCAAAGTGCCAATCTGATTGGTGGAGAAGGTTTTGACACGGCACATCAAAACAAAAAAATGAGCATGGGGGGTTTCTTTAAAAATTATGCTTTTACACCTGGCGCTTTGCAGGTTGGTGTGCACGATCACATTAACGCCCTTTAATTAGTCATGAGATTAAACGTCGATGGGAAACGCAAGCAAAAAGCATCCCGGTGTGAACGCACCTTAAAATAATGACTTTGCAAACAGAGCTATTAAAGTCATGTGGTGAAATTGTATTCATATCGCAACATACAGTGCTCAGCATATTTAAGTACACCCGACTCAAATCTAACTTTTACATTTATCTTTTAAATAGGATGCTATACAATATTATATTTGTGCATATACATTAGATTAGTCAGTACTGAAGCCAAATCTGGAGCTTATCTAACAAAATAGCTTACGATAAAGGTCCAAAAACTAAAACGTCTAAATTTAGACATAACAGAAAAACATACAATACAAAATTTAAAAATAAGGGAAAATCAAGAAGCAAAAATTTTTTTTGTTGGTGAAATTTTGTAGATTGTAATTGTTTCTTCAATATTTTGCTTTAATTGTATTATCTTTTTATTTGTATGTTTGGTGATTGAAATTATTTTTAATAAATATATCCGTTTAAGAAATCTGTTATGGTTAAATGCACCAAAATACATTGTCTATTTTCATCGTGCAGTCCTAATTAATTATTAATATCTTAATTGTGTAAGTACTCATGAAACTGCACAAGTGCGCCACTAAAGATTGTGAGGCGGAATGCCGCAACTGCAGTTGCAAGTTTAGGCGGTCAGGCTTTCATGGGCCCTCTCAAGTTTTATCCAATGTCTAAATCCACGTTTTAAACAACAGTTTATATTTTTCTATACGAAAATTAAAACAATAAAATACAAGAAAATATGCGAAAAGTGTTTAATTTCATAACAAGAACGCTTTAAAAAGGAAATGTGTCCATTTCGAAGTCTACATTAAGCATATATACGTTTAATATTTTACGTTTTAAAACATGGTCACCATTTTTTATTAAAACACGCATTTATTTAAAAGTATAATACATCTATGTGGCTGCTAAACTTTGAGCATCGACAAATATGCCGCTAACGGCTAAACAAATGAACATTGACTAACGCTTCATTAAAGCAAAGGAAGACTGTTTGTATTGTCATATTTCACCGCCAACACACTACTGCTCTTTACCTATTGAGTAATATTAGGTAATAGGACCTCGTAACGTGCATAACAGTTTCGTCGCTTGGCTAATATGAGTTAGCATGAAGCGCTTGTCCATGCTAAAGTTCCTCTTTCAAGATTCACGACCGCTGATTCACATGAACACATGTAAGTGTCAACAACAAACCACTACAAACAAAGATTAGCTGCAGGTAAACTCGCAGCACTGCGCCCATACCTTGAACTTGATTTGCCACTAGCCTCAAGTCCCTGAAACATGTTTGTGGAAGTCATGATTGCTTGTCTCGGTCTGCCGCGACGCGACGCAACAACTTCAACAACAGCAGAAAGTGCCCTGCCACAACCGCTGACTGCAAATCTACACTAAAAAAAGAAAAAGCCTCGTCCGACCACGCCCAGAAAGGCTTGGACAGAGTTCACCTATGACATATGCGCATTCAGGACAGAGCTGCACATATGATTAGGCGACTGGCTGTCTCACAAATCAATCTGGCCGAAGTGGAATTCTATTGGCTGTAAGACTATAAATGGTCTGGGCTCGGATGCTGATTGGTCAGCTGAATTGACGTCTCGTTTTCCTGTTTGTTGAAGCGTAATTATAAATTAATGGAGAGAATATATGTTTTTTCATAATATAATATAACGCAAAATACAATAAAATATATAAAATAAAATAATATATCATATGATATTATTTCATATTTAATATTTTATATAATTTTATTTAATATTATAATATTTTTAGCATATTATAATATAATTATATAATATAAAATACACAATAAAATTATATAAAATAATATAATATAGAATAAAATAATGTATAATAATATAATATAATATAATACAAAATAATATAATATAATATAATATAATATAATATAATATATAATATAATATAATATAATATAATATAATATAATATAATATAATATAATATAATATAATATAATATAATATAATATAATATAGGGCGAAGCAGTGGCGCAGAAGGTAGTGCTGTCACCTCACAGCAAGAAGGTCGCTGGGTCGCTGGTTTAAGCCTCGGCTCAGTTGTCGTTTCTGTGGTTTCCCCCACAGTTCAAAGACATGTGATACAGGTGAATGGAGTGAGCTAAATTGCCCGTAGTGTATGAGTGTGTGTGTGTGAATGTTTCCCAGAGATGGGTTGTGGCTGGAATGACATCCGCTGCGTAAAAAACTTGCTGGATAAGTTGGCGGTTCATTCCGCTGTGGTGACCCCGCATTAATAAAGGGACTAAGCTGACAAGAAAATGAATGAATGAATAAAATATTATTTTATATAATATAAATAAAATAATATAAAATAATATAATATAAATATAATTTAATATAAAATAACATAATATAATACAATATAACACAATATAAAATAACATAATATAACACAATAGGACAATACAATAATATAATACAATAGAATATACTTTATATATATATATATATATATATATATATATATATATATATATATATATATATATATATATATATATACACACATACACTACTTATATACACTATATATATATATATATATATATATATATATATATATATATGTGTGTGTGTGTGTGTGTGTGTGTGTGTGTATGTGTGTATATATTTGTGTGTGTTTGTGTGTGTGTATGTATAATGTATATAAAATGTTACGTTCATAAACTACATATAAAATTTTTAAGATTTGTTACAAGCATGAAATATAATATAATAAAGCTTTTATTAAATTATCTGAATAAATTTAATAAGAATTAAAAAAATTCTAATTTGTGCAAACAAGGATTGATCGCTGAAAACAAAGATCACTTCATCAATGCTTTCAAGATTGTCTAATAAACGTTATTTGTATGATCTGAGAAAACCTTTGCATTTTATGTTTTGTTTTATATTCAGTTTTTTAATATTGTGTATTATAAATAATCTTGACTTAATTATGAAAATATATAAAATATCACATACTAAATTATATATTATAAACAAAATACCAGTGAAAAGTAATGCTCAATAGAAATATATTGCAGTATTTGAATAAAAATAAAATATTAACTTTGAACGTCACAATAAATATACAACATATTATACATGACATATGTATAACATACAAACCCACAGTTTACTGATATAAGAACAGGAAACTAATAAATTAAACAAAACTTGACTTTCATTGCGCTCATTTACCGTCCCTCATTGTTTCTGTGTCGTCTTTGTTCATTTTGGGTGGGACCGTTATTTTAAAACATTTGTCACGATGAATAAAATGACGCAGGGTAAACGTACGTTATAATTGGCTTCTTTGAAAAAACGCCCCCTACACATTCCACCGTTGATTGGACTATATCCCCGTCAATCATTTTACGCAGCCAGCAACGCGCAACGCACAGACCAATCAGTGGATTTGTTTTTGAGCTGTGGTGGGCGTGTGTGACAGCAGAGGAAAACAGGAAGCGATGCAGTACTCACTGCTTCTCCTGCTACCCCTCCGGTTTTGTCTTTCTGGATACCGTGAAGGCCAAAAGGACATCGTATAAACAGGTAGAGAGAGTGTCAAATCATTTTTATTAAGGCGTATGTGTGGATCACACATCTGAGCGAATTATACGGGTTTACCGCAAACATAACGGTAAATGTTTAGCTAGCAAGTTAGCAAAGCAACTTTCTCAACGAATGTGCAGCTGGCAAGGCTGGTTGGCTAACGTTAGACATGTTGCTTTCGCTCATGCTGAAACCAGACTAATATCTTCTCTGTTTCGCAATGATAAATACTACTACTACTACTAATGATAATAATTATATTAATGTCTACCATAAACAAGCTTTCAGTGGACTGACAAGCATGTGTAATTAAAGTAAACACCCTCTATTATAAAGACTTTGACGACTAGCTTTCAGAACTAACTGAGAGTTTATAATCTGGCTCATTTTTGAGACTAAATCATCTATATTCATGCCTAAATTGAATCCACAAATGTGTATGTGTGAAATTCTCAAGCAGGTAGATGTATTATTAAGACTTTATGTCACCTATAGTGTTCACTCGCGTGAGGTTATTCTCCAAGCACATACATGCTTGATGTTTAACTGTTAAAGCAATGGAGATGTTTCACAGAATGCTCAAGAGGATGAAATGAACGCATTTGGTTTTATCTGAGGTTTTGGTGTCTGTTGGACATTGACAGCTGCAGCTGTAGGGAGCAGTGGTTGAGCAGCTGAAGTGAGCCTAGCTAGATCTGATTTCATAAAGACATTATTAAAAGGCTATTCGTGGAGTAAATCAAGCTGGAAGTTGATTTGAGCCCAAGATAAAGTGAGAGTTCTCAGTCTGGAGTGCAGTAGTGTTTCAAATATACTGCACATCATGTTTCTCTAACATCTAAACATGCATGTAAATCATTAACAACACGTATTTATAGTAAACAACTAAGTTGCTCACTCTTTTTTTCATTTTTGACAAAGTGTGAAGCTCTTAAACTTAAGACACACCCTAATCAAGCAAGCAAGGCGCTTATTGAGAAATGCACATTTTTTTATTTTAACACACACTAAAGATCTGCATATATTACACGTGTGTGTGTTTATATATATTTACTTGTTTTAATGTTTTATTTACTTCTGTTTGTGCAAAGCACCACACCACACCCCCTGCGAGTACGTGATCTATATATGTGCTCGATCAAGTCTGTCCTGCCTGTCGTCGAGATGATGAAATCAACGCTCGCTTTAGTCATTTTATCTTAGGATAGACTGGGTCTGTGGGGTGTCAATAGGCACATCTTTAAATGTCAACAATAAACGAGCATCAGCTCTGTTGTGAAGTTATGATGACGTAGATGGAGTAAGCAAAGTCCAGACGAGAGGATAGTGGCTGTGTGCGCGCGTGCAGTGGGTTTGTGTTGACCGAAATGCCTCAAAAGCAGAACTGCCGGGGTTCGGCTGAATCCGCGTGTTTGGTCCTAAACGTATGCTTAGATGACAGGTGTTTGTTGTTGTGGTAAAACTAGTGAGTTTGTGAGTCGGAGTTGCTGTGGCTACGAAAGCTCCCAGTTGTGCTGCGCGGAGTTGAACCCCAGTAGGAGCAGCAGCCAGGAGAGGACGACTTTGCCTGACCTCGTTTGCGCTTTGAATATGTTCAAATCCGTCAAGTTTTGCTCTCGAGAACCTCCGAACTCATGGTGAAGAGAAAGAAGACGCCGTCCGCGTCCGAAGAGCTCGAGAATGGGTAAGAGTGACTGAGAAACAAGCACTTTAGATAGAGGTCGAATGCGCGAAAGATTTGCGTTGTCGTCTGTCGTTTTCTGCAGGGCGCTAAAGTGTAGGCGCTCGCGCTTGAATTTCAAGGTAAATAAAAGGGCAGCTCGCAACTCGAGCCACGCGAAACTACACTAAAAAGACAAGCTGGGACGAAAGCACAATGTGTGCTTTTTGCTCACGCTGGTGAATAAGCGAATGGTTGTTTTTTTCGATGCGATCTGTCGGGACGGTGAGAGGGGATTTGAAACAAACAGCGGCGGCCATGTTGAGTTGAGCAGAATGTCGTCTTTCCAAGTTGATCGTTGTTTTGTGTCGCGGAAAATGTTTACGCTTGTGTTTCGTTTGTGTTTGCGCAGGATGACAGTGGGCCAAGGGGGCGGTTCGGGAGTCGAGGGGCCGAGCAAACCGGACCGAAAGCCCGAAGGAGGCGAGGATGGAGAGAGCGCAGATCAGGCGAGCGAGGAGACGAGTACAAAGAGAGTCGGAGAGGAAACACTTAATCCATCCAGCACGGCCAGCCCCGGTTCGGCTCCCACTCCTTCCACACAAACGTCAAGCCCACCCGGACCACAGGTGAACCCGACAGCTCTTTCTCCGGGGCTGGCCGTCCCGAACAACCAGGACCAGCATCATTTTCTCCGCTCCAGTGTGCGACCTCCGAGCAAGCGGATACGGAAAGATGCCTCGTCCCCGGCGCTGAACGGTCACGGCGGTGCGAAAGCGAAAGGTGAGTGTCCATCTCTGCCCGTGTCCCCTGCTCAACTGTCATCCTCTGTACTTTAACTTTTGTGCAATGAGTTTGTTTGACTGCTTTAGATTTGACGAAACGCTGAGGATTCCTCATGCTTTCTGGAGTGAAAGTGACTTTCACAAGCTGCTCTCACTACTGAAGCTTCTTCAAATCTCAACAACTGGACTGATTTGGTTGCTTGTAAATGTATTTTAATGACCCAGTAAGCATTAGTGCACGGTTTTAAAATTTAAAGGCTCTGTGATTGATTGCTTTATTTAATGTTTACATTTCTTATCATCAGTTTAGCTGTCACTCAGCAGCAGGTGACACATCACTGTCATGGGTTTCATTCTGATGCAGGAGTCAGTTGTGCATCAGGATTCAGGAGGGGATCT